ATGACCATCAAGCCAGCTCTACAGAGGATATTGAAAGGGACAGTTCACATTGAGGAGGAGGATAAACACATTCAAGGAGCCACAGGGTATAAACAATACCAGGCAAGCATGAGTGTGGATGAGGAGTGAGAAGCTGAGGGGTGTCAGAAGGCTTGACAAAATCACAAGTACATGTAAAGCTATATGAAAGTCTATGATCTTACAACCCAAGGAAGAAAATTTTAATGAGGGGATAGAACACAGAACATGGGTTACATAAAAGGGGATTAAATGGGATTGGGGAGACGAGAGGGTAGGGGTAAATTAGCCCAATCAGGATATATGAAGATATCTTACAGAAGTCCCCATGTTTGTAAGCTAATCAGAAAACGTCTTGTTGTTGTTGTTTTGTTTTCAGAAAGGGTTTCTCTGCATATCTCTAGCTGTTATGGAACTCACTCTGTAGAACAGGCTGTCATTGAACTCAGAGATCTGCCAGTCTCTGCCTCCCAAGTGCTGGGGTTAAAAGCATGTGACACTATGCCCAGCTCAGAAATACATTTTTAAATAACTTTGAAGCAGAGCTTCTCTGCAGGGTTAGACAATGCTACTCCCAAATGGCATGTGTTATTACACACACACATAAAAGAAAATCTCAATGCCAGGCACAGGAAACCACCCTACAAGTCGTAAGTCGGGAAGGTCCCAGAGGTGCCCAAAACACCACCTGCTATTGCTCTTAGGTGCTATCTTAGTAGGGGCTTTCTCCCCATGACCAAAGCAACTTGGGGAGGAAGGGCTTATTTTCAGCCTTCACTTTGGGGAGACAGTCCATCGCAGAAGGAAGTCAAGTCAGTAACACAAACGGGGCAGTAACCTGAAGGCAGGAGCTGATGTAGAAGACAATGAGCAGCGCTGAATACTGCCTTGCTTCCCCATGACCTACTCAGCCTGCTTTCTTATAGATCCCAAGACCACCAGCCTAGGGATGGCACCATCAACAATGGGCTGGGCCCTCCCCAATGTACATGTACCTACCCTAACTAGATGACCAGACCCTATTAAAAAGTCAGCACTCAAAAAGATGCAGGATGCAGAAAAATCAACCTCAATTGACCAGGAAACTCTGTCACTGCTGGGTAGATTATATAGTGCCAGAAGATGCTACTCAAGCTTCTGCTGGGAGGGGAGAGACACCAATAGTCTCACCCAACACTGCATGTTGCATGCTATAATACTGATCTGCAGAAGACCTGCACACTGGTGCAAGAGTGGAATAATGATGACGGAAATTACCAAGTGTTTTCTCATTGAATATGAGGCCTACTTCACAGAGAAATTTCATATCTGCTTAAAGCAAATGACTGAGGACATCATAGGATGAAGAGAGAAAATGTACTTGCTACACGTACCTGCTCTCAAATTGCCAGCTAAATATTTATGTATACACATATAGGTTATTGTTGCTTTGACGTTAGTAAAAGACACTTCTTTCTGCAGGGGTAGTAGTTTATCCAACCTCATACCCGGTCCAAGTATCAAGCATAAGTAACTGTGAGTTCACCTGTGGACAAGTAACCTACAACAACCTCCCAACACACAAGGCTCAGCAGACATCATGAAAGAGAGAACAGAAAAGAATGTTCATGGATGGGAAGAATGGTGAACAGTTAACTTCTGGACATAGCATGGTTATTGCACACATCAATTCCTACCAGATGTGTTCACCTGCAAAGTCCTCCAGGAGATCAAACCAGTCAAGATTCCAGAATGGATGGAGCAAATAAAACAAAGATCTACCCTTACTGGATGAGCTATTGACAGATTTGATGGTTGAGCGGGAGTTGCTCTCCTCTGCAGATGCTACAAGTATGTTGCCCATACAACAGTGGAGAGCGCTAATTGGACTCAGGTATATAAATAACCAAAAGAAGGAAACTGTGAAGCTGTGAGAGGGTAGTGGTAAATGACTATCACCAAAATGCATTGTATAAATGTACAACATTTACAAGGAATAAGTAAGTATTACTGAAAATATAAATTCAGAATTCATGTCTACATCTCTGCCAGGCCTGTTATAATTTCACAAGAAGAGGAAATTATAAGGATCCCACAATTATATAACTCCTGTGTGCAACACACCCTAGACCACTACTAAATTCTGATCAGTTCACTTTGTCACTAGAATCCATCAATCCATGCATAAAACTTACTCATGGGTAGACTTTTATGGGACAGAATGTTTTGTGTCAGTCATACATGAGACAAAGTATTTCTCAGGAGACCATCACTTAAATCAATGACCAACGGGACATAATAACTATATCACGGATGCCTAAAATTCTTTTGACTATAAGGTGATGAGTCTATACTTAGGGCACTATCTGACATCATCAAAGTTCTTTCACAGGTCAGTTAACTGTCTCCCTCTTTAACTAGCATGCAGTCATCCAACACACTAATGACCACAAACAGCAAGACACAAGAGGGCTTGTGAGGATGGAAACTAACGAGGGAACAGATAAACCACTTACAATACACTCCATAAGGACATTCATTAAAACAATCCATTTCCTTCATTCCATCCCAATTTTGAATATAGAACACAAAGAACCACTAGGCCCCACAGGCAGGCATTGTATTTTCTCTGTGGTGGGTCTGTCTGTGCCATCCCAAGACCAGCTCTAACAGACATGGGGACATGCCAACAAAAGCAAGAGCAGCTGCTGATTTTGGAAAGCAGACTGCACCACACCTGTCTTATCAGCACATCTAGATCCCGCCTCTTCCTCCATGATGACCTTTCTAGGAGACAGCGAATGCCTATAAAATGGGGTGCACCTTTTGGGTGGACAGTCAGAGGCAGGAGCAGGAGGAGAAGCAACATCTGAAGACTTTGACCCCTGAGAGCGCCAAGGTAAGGACTGCCCAGAGGGATGCACTAAGAAGGGCAGGCCAGGTGGGAATGACCATGGGAGAGGTCACCTCTGGACAGATGACTAGGGCTTACTCACTGATAAGCTAGAATGTTCCTGGGCGGCTGAACTGCAGGACACTGAGCCTAAAGTGGGATGGTGGATAGCAAGGGCTATGTGGAGGATGTTTTCTAGAGAAAACAGGAGACTGACTGCTGGAAATCTCAGAGAGGTCCACCAAATCAACATAGCCATGAATTCATTAACAGGCATACTTGCTTTTCCTGAAAGTGTGTTTAGATGAATGCCATGCTGTTTAGATTTCGAAGGGGTCAGAAATGAACGGGAAAAGTCTGGAAATGTGATGAGACTTACTTTTCAAAATGGCAATTTATTCAAAGAAAGGAATTGTCACTGGCTTCAATTTACTGGAACCACTTTCTGATGGTAATCACAGCAGAGAATTTACTTTTCATACTTAGGTATACACAGTGCCTACCTAAGTCATCACCATTACCCTCTAAGAATCATCAAATGTACAGACAATGCCTAGCTCAGCTCTGGGAAGATACAGCTACTGTAGATTATGGGAGTGTGGACATGGAAAGATTTGAAGGATGATAGGAGAGGGATTGTAGATGATATCATAAAACAATATGAAGTAATTACCAGAACGGCACCAGTCACCATGGAGGAGCAATTACTGGGCAGGCATATCACATGAAGCTCCGTGATGTGAAGCTATAGTGGTCTTTCTGTAAAGTAGCAGTTACAGTTGAAGTCTTGATGAATGATCCCTGCTATCAAGAACATATGCACAGGGTCCCCTCTGCCATAAAGCAAATCGCAATTAATTGTCTTAGGGTGAGGATTTTACAAAGTGACACCATTACAATTCTGACACCTTTTCTAAAGGTCAAAGGAAAGACCCACACCCTAATTTTGCAAACCCTGACAGGTGAAATAGGGCAAGAGGGAAGAAATGCAACAGTGCTCCTCATATCTTAGGGGAAATGTCAGGGGCACATGCACAGTGGGAAAACTGAAATCACTCAGCTGGTAAAGGTACACGCTACCAAGTCTGATGACTTCATTTTGATCCCTAGAACAAACATGACAGAAGTAAAGAACCAACTCCATCAAACTGTCCTGTGATGTACAAACATGACTTAGAACACACATAAACCCCAACATAAATAAATAAATAAATAAATAAATAAATAAATAAATAAATAAAACTCAGAGATTTGAAGACTGGCCAAGCATGGTGGTGTACACATTTAATCCCAACACTGGAGGGACTGAGAATTCAAGGCCAGCCAGAACTAGAAAGCAAGCTGCAGGAAAGTCAGGACTAAGAGTAAAACCCTCTCTCAAAAATCAATAAGCTAATACATCAAGGTAAACGTCAGAGACAAAACATCTAGAGAATAAGCATAAGCAAGGAATCTGGGAAGGGGAGATGGGAAATGATGTATACCTCCCAATTGACTAGGGAAACTGGGGTAAAAACAGGAACTAATGTCCAGCTTGGCTGCCACAATTCTATAAGATGTCTCAGGAAAAGTCCAATACTAACTACACACTAAGAAGATAATTAGGGGAAGGGGCCTGAGATTGAAGCTGAGCACTCAAATTGATGTATCTAAAATGGGGACTGGGAAACTACCAGGGGCCTAAAACACAAATCAGTTTTAAAGCAATGCCATAACGTGGTCAAGCGTTGTATACAATATCAGCACTGAAAAACGCAAGAGGAGGGGAATTTATATGTAGGATATACCAAGAATGTGTGGCAGCATGCTATAGCACAAGAATATATATGGGCCCAGGAAGTCAGACCTCAGGACAGGGCTCACCTGCATTGACTTGTTGCAGCCAATCCTGACAGTACAATTGCCCAAGGTAGAAACAGTAATAAGAGTATGTTAACTAGCATATATCAGGACATATTCCCAGGGACAGAAGAGACTAGAGTGTCAATGTGAAAAACGAGCTATTATGAGAGACAGAGAGTCACCGACACAAAGTTACATAACAGCTCTAAGGCCCATAGTAATATGCTATATGTGACCCATTTCTCTTCCGCAGGTGTCAGCCATAGCCATGTGGGCTCTCTGGGCCTTAGTCATCGCACTGAGCATTCAAGCGGGAACACTTGACCTGGTAGAAACACCTCCAGTGGTGAGCAGTCTCCCTGTTGCTGTGCCCAATGGGAGCCCCCTTCCTCTTAGCCTGCCAACAGCACCGCACCACAAAAGTTCCTCCAGCAGCCAAGGCTCACCTATCAAAAAACATCCAGCTGCCTCCAAGGGTGGCAAGTGTGCCCCTGCAGCCAGATACTTCCTCTCCAGTGGCAAACTCCATGACTGTAAGTAAGATTCATTTCAGCTGTCTTCTTGAGTCCGTTCCACACCTTTCATGGCCTGCACATTTCTGAGCTCATAGCAGGTTCAGTCAACCCTGTGAATAAGTGGTTTCCAAACATGGTGAGCCTGTGGCATCTGCTTGTGTCTAGAGAGAGAGGATGACTTGGGACATTCCTAGAAATTCTGGTACTGCAATGGTCTGAATCCAGCTATCCAACAGCTCAGGGAGATGGAGAAACTTTTCATAATAGACCTGAGACTGGATCTAAGGAATCAACTTGGCATCTTTAAAATAGGGACTGGGACACTACCAGGGAACTGCAGACAGAGCTCATTGTTTGAGTAATGGTGTAACATAGTCAAGCCCTGTGTATGATATCAGCACTGAAAAACGAGAGGGAGAAAATATATGTCAGGCAAAATCAAGAAAGTGTGGGTGCACAAGATGGCAGGAGAATATAAACATTCCCAGAGAGTCAGACCTCAGGAAACGGCTCAGCCTACATTGACATGATACGGCCACACACATAATTCAGGAAAGGCCGATGCTACCCTAGACATGGAAATTCACTGACTTCTTGGATTCTTACCACCACTGTGTCACACTTAGAGTTCATCCTTGCTGGGACCCAAGCTGGTGTAGACTCCCTCAGCCTGGTTTTCAAAACAAGAAAACACCAAATTAGAATCTGCTTCTGCTCTTGAACTTAGAGCAATCTCTCCAGCAACAGAAGGCTATTCAGAACTAGAGCAGGGGCAGCAGGAGAACCTAAAAGGCAGAATTCAGAGTTGCCATATGGCCCATCTTTCAAGATGTCATCCTACAGAAAGGAGGATGGTAGGATAACCTGAACAGAAAAGCACAGCAGGGTTGTCTCTTGGTCTTTTTCAGATCTCATGAACAATCTGCCCACACAGATTGAGGACATTGTGAAGTGTGATGATGTTGGCATGGCAGGTGTGCTCGGGACACTGTTAGCCACACTGGACAGCGCTGACCTGCTCTCACTCTTGGATCCCTCTTCCCTCCTAAAAGGGGCAGGTGGTCTTGGCCTAGATGGTCTCCTAGGCAAAGAAGGGAATGAGGATTCCTCAAAGCCCTCTTCAGGGTCCAAGGCCACTGGGGGTCTCAACAAGCTACTCCCAGGGGGTGGTGCTGGACTGGACAGCTTACTAAACCTCGGGGGAGACAAGGGCTCTGGGAAAGGACTCCTGAAGGGAGAGGGGCTCTCCAGTATCAAGAAGCCTCTGAATGACATGGTTGAAAATGTAGACAATATAAAAGACTCTGTGGAGACCAAGGTGAAGGAAATCCTCCCCAGTGAAATCAAAGACCCAGTTTCAGATCTACTCAAGATAAACCTCAAAGAGCTTCTGCTTGAGTAAGTGCTTCCTTGACAATTCTCAGGATCTCTGGACAAACAAGATGCTCATGGGAACCCTTATACTCAACATACAACAACCCCAGTGACAGCCACCCTTTCACAGAAAGACATACTTACTCCCACTGGAATCTCTGCAAAGCATGGCCAGGATATCTTAAGCTTAAAAAACTGGTTGGGAAGCAGAATTCCGGGGCAAGAGGAGTAGCAGAGCTTAGTTGGTGGTGAACTGGCTTCCTCACAGGTATTTCTCATGAGGGCTGGGCTGTTTCCAGGAAGCAGAACTGAGTCTGTGTTATCATTCTGCAGATTCCAAGTGGACGAAGTAACAGTGGACAGCACAGACATAACCATGGCAGCTGATGAGATCCAAGTCCACTCCACAGTCACTGCCACCATAGGTGGAAAAGGGTGAGCTTGTTTCCAAAATAATTGCTGGTCAACAGGGATTATGATGCAAGCCACCTCTCCTAGAGCCAGATGACATGGACAAACAGATAGAGAAAAGAGGAACAACTATTCCCAGCAAGACTTCCTTAAAGAGGGCAATGTGCCTCAGAAAAATCACATGTATAGATATATATTTATACATACATACATATATATTACATATACATGTGTGTATGTATATACACACAAAAAAACATATATATAGATGTATACATATATAAGTGTATATATATACATATATATACATATACATATATGTATAAACACATTTTGCACTGTCCAAAACATCCTATGTTAAGAAGCCCTGGCTTTTCCCTTTTACACTTCTCTTATGTATTTCCACAAAACTCAGCAGGCCTAAGAGCTAGGATTCAAGGTGAACTTAAAACTGGTAACCTGTGTTACCACCAACAGGCAACTCTTTAAGTCAAGATAGATCAATTATTTCACAAACATTAACTGCCAAAAATGACCAGGCTCTTCACTCTCTGGCATGGGACTGAGGCCCTAAGAGCATGGGGACTGGAAAACACAGTCCTTCCCTCTAGACGATGACCTTCTCCACAGCAGGAGACCCATTCCCTAATAGACATCCCTCCCCTGGAGCCTCAGATCTCAGGCAGTATTCCATTCACCTCACATTCCTCTCCACAGTGTACTTGGACCTGTCATCAGTGCACTGAAATTTGAATCTGACATGGAAGTGACAATGAAAATTGCTATTTCCTCCAACAACACTCAGTGTGTCAACCTTGACATCCAAGACACCCACATCCAGGTCAACGAAATGAAGATTCAGTTAATTGAAACGTAAGTAAAACCTTCCGTCTAATACTGCATCAATCCAAATGTGTGTCAGAGGGTCCTACTGCTGTCCCAGAGGAATACTGGTCACCATACAGTGCAGGACAATCAGGAAGTACCAGGAGGGCTGACAACAATGTTCTACTGTGTTTGACAAGAGCCTTCTCACATGACCTTCTCTCTTTCCTGCTGACTCTACCTCAGTGACTCATCCTATATTTTCCCTAAACGGTACACTGACCTTAGGCAAAATGGAAAAGGAAGCATGAGGCCATACAGTGAATCTCTGTGCCAGCTGCCTACTTCTGACTCGGTTCTCACTAGGAAGATGGAAGAGCTTCACACCCACAAATACCAGCTTTGACATCCTTTCCTTCCATCTGCTATGCCCTAGGCAGGACATCATTCCCATTTCTCCAGCTAGAGTTTAGCAAGCTGTGAATTCAGACCCACTGCTACAGCAAGACCACAGACAGGTCTGTGGACATCTGTGCTCCAGTGTCTGAACGATGCATCCTCCAACCAGGGGACCTCAGGGCCAATGTGTCCTGTGCTTTAGCCAGGTGTCTTTGCATCTTCCTTAAGACCAAAGACCAAGGCAAGAGCTCAGGACTTACCCACCCATAGAGAAACCAAGCATCATCCTGACTCGTTCATCAGTGAGTTGGTGTGTCTAAGACATGGACACATCTAGAAACAGGACCATCACTTATTTTCACATGTGTATCTTCCACAGAGTCACAGGAACTGTGCCTCTCCCCATGTCTCTGCCCTTGAATGACCTTATCCCAATAGTGCTCTCAGCAGAGATGAATGAGAATGTAAGTCCAGGGAAGGGGTGGGGCTCACTCACAGACCTGAATCACTGGGAACCAGTGGAGAAATTTGAAGCTTTGTAAAGGGCCAGCTGCAAGGATAGATTTCAATCAAGACCAGCGACATCAGGAGAAGAAGGGCCACCATGGACAAGCAGCTCCTCTAACCCTATGTCTAGCGGCAGAACTAGAGAAGATGAGATTTGGGGACAGTGGAAACTTCTGCCCAATACAGGCCAGGGAAATAGCACAGGAAAAGGGGAAGCCAAGGGGAGAAGGGGAGGAGGAAGGCTGATAAAAGAGGCTCCTGATGCTCCCTCAGCTAAGCTAACCTGTGGTGACTTCACAGCTGGAGAAATCCAACTCCTGTGCCATCGTTCTTGGGGACTTCAACGACTGCAAAAATGGTGAGTACTTCCTTGGTGTCCTCTTGTCGGTGGACTGGAGTGGCTCACGGACCATGGGGGATTTCATAGGGTGATATACCATAGAGGAAGGGACTCTGGCATACCACACTCCAAAACTACAAGGGCCCACACAAGCTACTAGGCACACAGAGGTAAGAGAATGGTCCAATTGACCTTTCCCTCAAGGTACTCGACTTCTGACACACGGAAAGATTAGGACACAGTGTCTCTGGGGGCTGCACAGAGCTTCCCAACCCTAACAGCTTTCAAGGCCACACTCCATAAAGTCTGAATCAAGACCCGTCCAAGGCCATCATCTCTGGAGTCCTGAGATGAGGACATCTTACACTATCCCTATGAACATGACAACAGCCAAGGTGGGAGGGCATATTGGGTTGAACAACCCGAGAGCTGAAGTAGGAAATTGGGCTAATTACTCAAGTCCCATGACAGACAAAATCTGTGGTCTACATAGCCACTGTTTCCTTCTCCAAAGAGAGCCTGACACATCAGGTAAGAAAATAAATCCTTGTGGGTAAACCAAAAGCTCAGAGCATCCTTGATATGTGGAAGATGTTCAGAGCAACATCTTCTGTCTGGCATGCAGACAGAGGCAGCTGTCCATACTGGTGTCTAGGGCTGGCCACAACTACAGTTTGGGACACAATAGCCATCAGTGGCAGTGTGTGCTCTCTCCACTCCTCCTCCTCCTCTTCTCTACAGCTACCGGCTTATTCAAGTACCAGGTTCAAAGTGCCAGGATTTCTCCCAAAGGACTTGCCATCCTCTACTGTGTAAGTAGTCACTGTCTTTGCAATGACAGCTGGATTAAGGCTGGAAGCATACCTGGAATTTAATTTAATACCCACAAAAGGGATTAAGATTTCAAGACAGTGAAAGGGTCAGCTCTTTTGACACCCCTCATCTTTTCCTGGCATCAGTCTTCTGAGTTCTCCTCGGGACCTGGTCAGCCTAGTGCTCTTCTCCATTCAAATCCACAGGATGATGGCCTGTGAGGCTCATCAACTGACAGAACCATAACTTGGCCCAGCCCAGGGCTCCACTCTCAGTAGAGTATACACATTAAAGCTAAAAGGACCAGCTCCAGACAACTACACACTCCCAAACCAAGAAGGCAAAATCAGGGTGTGACAAGTGCTGAAGACAGGGGACATGGTTAGCTCAGTTTCTCCTCTGGAAATCCATAAGAAAGCTGCACTCAGATGCTGAAGCACAAAGCCATGTCCACCCAGGGTGACCTTCATCAACATCCTACAACACAGAGGACTGAGGGCTGATCTTTCTACACATGTCACTTGTGGGAAGCATTTCACAGTCATGCTTTCCAGATACTATTAGTCACTCTAAAGTCAAGGAAACTGAAGGAGGGAGACACCAGGCAGGAGGGAACACCAGTGATGTTAGGCATAAGTCTCTCTTCTCTGTGTTCTGCCCTGAGTGCTCCAACATCCCATACCAAAAAGAGATTATAGTTCAGAAATATGACCCTCAGTCCTGTAAACTTTGACAAGCAGAGGATGTAGCTATTAAATGCACACACCCACATCTTAAGAAGTACATCATAAATGGCTGACTCAATTTAGGTGACGTTTCATAGCCTCTCAAGAAAGCGTGGCTGCTCTGAGCCCTGCTACAGTGCCACTGGAACTAAGCTAATGCAAATTCACCCTACAATGTACCTGGCAGGCAACAGGGACATCCCTCTCCTTCTGGTCCCCTGAAACAAACAGATATTTTTCTACTTTCCTCTCCTTAGGTTGAAGCCAATTTGGGCAAAAAATCAGTGCCAGTGCCTGGAAGACGCCTGCCTCCAGATCCCAAAGATGCCACCATTTCTGTAACTATGTCCAGCTCAATGTTGAAGATACTTATAATATATGTGGCCAAGCAGAGCTCTGTCAAGGTGAGTGTCCTCCATCAGTCCCAGGGCTGCCCTACAGTGGATGTCAGCTGAGACTGTCACTGCTGAGGGAGATGGTGGAGACAAGAACAACATCTGAAGCTTTGGATGGTTTTGTTTTGTTTTATTGTTTTTTCGAGACAAGGTTACTTTGGATAGCTCTGGCTGTCCTGGAAGTAACACTGTAAACCAGGCTGGCCTTGAAATCCAGAGATTTGCCTACCTCTGCCTGCCATGTGCTAGGATTAAAGGTGTGTGCCACCATTGCCTGCAGTATCTGAAAGTTCCTGCAGACATGAGTAAGACCAAATGCCACAGGGCACACACGACCCTTAGGGATCTTAAAGGAGCCTTGATGCCATCAGTGGGGCATCATGAGCAACTAAGTGGGTTGGAGAGGTAAACATTGAGTGTGTCATCTATATGCCAAACACACATCTATGTGTCCTTAAATGATCAATGGCAAGTTTTCCTCAAAATGAAAATCAATATAGGAACTCTTCTTCAGTTTACTGGTGCTCTCAGAGGTTGAGTGGCTAGTCACAATAACAGCAAGGGCACCAGGCTTATCTTCCCAGGAGGTACTTTAATATAACCTCCCCATGTTAAAGATGGGAGGATCCCTGCAGTGAGAGGAACTCACATGCTCTAGGTACCATGATCAGATGAAGCACCATACAGGAATCTTTATCTCTGAGTCCATAAGTGTTCAGCAGAGACCTTCCAGGACACAAGGGCAGGGAAGAACACTTCTACTTTGAAAGCCTGGATAGAAAGCAACATTTCGCAAAGTCTCTGCCTCAACATCCATCGGCTGAAGTGAACACAGAAAAGGGGTGGGAACAGCCCTGCCCTTTCTTTTTCTCAGCTGCACCAGCACCCAGCTGGGTGACCAAGCCTCCAGGACCAAACACAGTATCTCAAGCAAGACTGGAGCACCGCCCATCCTCTTCCCCTCACTAACTGAGGTCTTCTTCACAACAGATGAATGGCCTGGACGCCAACATCACCAAAATAGCCTATGCCTTCCAGAAAGACAAACAACTCAGAATCTCCTATGAGGCTGCAATAACAAAGGACAGTGAGGACTTTGCCACTGGGAAGACGGTGAGTGCTGAGAAATGGAGGTTCATGAGTTGGAAGAAGGCCAAGGACTTGGATGCATGGGATGAACTGTTTCCAAGAGCCTGGGGTCCATTGTTATGCCTTGCTGTCCCCACAGCAGAGGGAAAGGCCGAGGTCCCAGGTTTCACTCATGCCCCCTTGTGTCATTTCAGCAATTAATCATTAGCCATGGCAGCAAGATTACAAAAGCAAAACTGGAACCAAACATCAAACTCATAAGGTAATACACTCTATAAATTCACAGTCCTCCTGAGCAATTAAGACCCTGTGAAATACATGGACTGATAGGTTCTGGGCAAACATTTGAATACCTACAGGGAATCCGGAGTTGTGGCTTCCATGCTCTTACTCACTTGTCTATTCTGCTCAGTAGGTCCTAGTCAACAGCTGACTCATTCTAAATCAATTGAGATAAGACTTGAACTTAAACTTCAGTAGTCATGTTCTCATGAACCTAACATTTCTCTGTATTTTGTTGCTGACAGTTCTGACCACAGAGTGGAGCCCCCAGAGGCTGTAAGTAGATGTACTCTTTTATCTTGACCCATGATAGGTGGGAAATCATGTCAATTCCAGACACTCGGTGACTCAGGAGTGGAGGAAAGGGAAGCTCATGGGTACTGGAGCACACCTTTACTGTGGAACAGTACTACAGGCTCCTCACTGGCTCTCTGAAGAGTTCTTAAACCACAACTGCCCATGCTCACATTGACATCTGCTTGTAGAGGTTGCAAGGAGCATGCATACAAACACATACAGAGGAGGCAGAACATATGAAAGTCTGGTGTCACATGCTGGAGAGAGGCCCACAGTGGGTGTCCAGAGATAGGGTAGGAAATGTGTCCCTTAGCACCCGGATATATGGACAGGCAATAAAATAGCAGACTCGGGAAATATTCCAAGGCTGGCTATTCCCCATCTCTACTTAGCAGGGAAGTGACAGGAAGTTCCTTGCTGTGGACTCAGTGAAAAAAGACTAAGAGTGACCCTGACCTCATAGAGACTCCTGCATACAGTGTTTATGCCAACAGCTGTCCCCTGGATGTTAGAGAGCAGAGTTTAAGGAGTGTCCTCTCTATGCACACAGTGGGGTACTGTTACAGTGGCACCCCAACCCAGTTCTTCAGAAGCCTGTCTTCCCACAGAGAAGGGTGAGCAGTGAGGAGGCAGACATGCAGAGGCAACCCCATATGCTCTCAGAGGAGTGTCAGCAGTGAGGGGAGGGAGCACACGACATGGAGAAACCCAGACCTGACATCCTCTGACCTCATCACAGCAGGCAGCAGTGACCACCCGGAGCCACTTCTCCCAACTTAGGCCTCCAAGTAACTCCTGAAGGCCCTAAGCCACCTGCTGTAACTGTAGCAAGATGGCCGTGAACAGGCCAATACTTCTGCTAATGGAGAAAAGGGCAACAAACATAATAGGGGTCCCAACATCCCCCAAAGATGGAAGCTCTAAGGATACATAGAGATCCATCTCCACATTTGGCTATGACATGTGACAGACCTGTCAACTAGAGAAATCCCACAGGAACCTCAACCCTGATCAAATGCTCTTGGGCCTTGAGCACAAGGAGAGAACTACAAGGCTCTACTGAAAATGTCCTCCTGTGTCTTGCAGGAGGAAGAGGGGAAACTCGTTTTATCTGAACTCGCAAAGGCATTTTGGTCTTCCTTAAATGGTATGTAGTATTAATAATTCTGATTGCTGGCATAGTCAGTGCCCCAGGAGAGGCAAGAAAGAAATGGCACATGTAGGACACTAAAGCACCAAGAACAAGGTCACCCTGTCATCTGCTGAGTTATACATTGCCTTCTCTATCATAAATGACAGCATATCATGGTACAAAGAGAAAACAGACCAAAGTGCCTCCTCTGCACCTGCCAGGAAGTCTTGTCCACAAGTGCCTTGGGACCAAGACCATCAGAGGATACATGTGAACAGTGGACCTTGGTCAACCCCCAGTAGACATTAGGTTTATGACACTTGAAGTTTATGGCATGACCTCTTGGACAACAATGACGATGGTGCCACATGCTGGGTACACACATACCTGGTTAGGTCTATTGTGACCATAAATAGTATACTGATCGTCAAATGTATGTGCCACCTCCAGTCAGGTCCTGTAGTGAGGCAGTGTATCTATCACTTGTCATCGATGTTAGGAGGGCTTTGGGGGCCTTTCTTCTCCTATACCATAACTTGCCTACATCCTACAGGCTGGGGAATACAGTATTCAGGAAACCATATTGAAAGTGTGTGGCAGGGACTACTGTTAGGGCCACATACAGGTCATTGATCCCACATTGACTGTGCTCAAACAAAACACCCAGGTTATTGTTTCCCTTAACTCCTGTTACAACGTGGTACTTCCTCATTTCAGATATGTATAAGCAGATGACTATTCCAGAAGGAGTGTCTTCATTTGCATTAATGAATGCCAATATCAGACCGCTGAAATCGGTAAGAAACTGAAACACGGCTGTTTTCCGTGCTGCTTTGCTTTGCTTTGCCAGATACAGAACCTTGCAAATAGTCTTGATCTACCTGTGCGATCGGTGTTCAATGCAACCCAGAAACCATCAGCTTCTTTCATAGGACTCAAACCTTAAGCTGGGCTTGACCCCATGCTTTCCAGCATCTGAGTCCAATGATCCCTACAGGGTCCAAATGACAGAAAGGCAGCATTTGCTCAGGGTGGCTTTCCATGCTCTCATTCTTTCCTACTGACCAGCTCAGGGGCCAGGGGACTTTGCACAAGCCAGCCTTAATCACAGGAACAGATCAGATGGATGACATCTGAGATACAACTACAGTGACAAGAAACACAGCCTGCAGCAAGTTATGTGCTAACAGTGGAAGTGTAGTTACTGACAGCCAGCATTGTGCCAGGGTCAGCAGGTGCTTCACTCATGATCCTGCGAACCCAGAGTTGGTCGGTGCCTTACACCCTCTGTCTCTGGGTGCACCCCAACTGCATCTGCATGGATGCCCTCCTGCCAGAGGCTTCTCCTGAAAACTCCTCTCACAGTCTAAACTCTCTAGGGTGTTCACTCCAGGTGTTCTCTCCCCATCCCTGAAGCAGTGCTGTGTGATCTGCCAGGAGTGGGGGTTGACGACAATCATGACTGCAGCCAACATCTGGGGTTAAAGGCAGTAATTGCTCTCTTTTTCTCCCCTTAGAGTGACCTTCAGGCAACAAACTGAACCCAGCACTACTGAAGCCAGGCCATGTCCTGGAAGACAGCGGAATCCCCTGTGAATCTCTCCATGCCATTTGAAGCCCATCCTTATGATTAAGGAAACAGTAGCAGTAGTCCCCTCAGCAGGCTCAGGATCCTCTGCCTTGATTGACAAGGCAAAGAAGAAGAACAGAGCAAGGACATGGGCATTGTTTAATCAGCTACTTAATAAACAGTCCCTTCATGCAAAAGTAATGACTCTGATGCCTGTCTCAACTCTGGTACACATTCCTGAACATGCAAAGAACTTCTGACTTGGGGCTGAACAACAACATGAAACAACAAATCCAGGGTTCTCCAGCCCTCTGGGGGACAATCGTGACAGTGATTAAATCTTTCTGCAGCTCTTTCCTATTTGACTTTGGATCTGTAGTGCCTCCCAAAGGCTCAGGTGGTAAAGCCTTGCCCCCCACCTGGTGCTATAGGGAAGTTGTACCTTTAAGAAGTGGTGCCTAGAAGTACTTCTTTAGTTCAATTGGGCACATCCTTCAACCCGATGAGGAAGCCTGTCTCTTTCTCTTCCTGCTTTCACTTCCTAGACTTCTGGGGAATACTTTGCTTCTCAAGACCATAGACTGCTCACCAGAAACGTAAAGATCAGAAATTAGGTCACAGTCTGGGTCCTCTAACACTGAGCTTACATTAACCTCTTCCATACATCAGTGATAAATTAGCTTTGGATCCCAGGTTACTGGGTTCCTCAGATGCTGATACAATAAATCAGATCAGGCGGAATTAATAAATCCAGGTTTAAACTGAGCAAATCATTCCCTGGTGGCCCCAGGGAAGAGGAGAGAAGCAGGAATGGAACCCACAAGGAGGGACTTTTAAATGCCCTCAGGGGTGGAGCCCATGGTGGGTTTTTCTCAGGGTCATAGTCTGAAATGAGGCAACTCCAGGGAATGGTCTCCAGTTTGGCACCCTGAGGGCAGGGTTTGGAATGGGCCCCAATCTGGAGATTACAAACCTTGTGGTCAGTCTCAGTGTCTGTGCTACTGGTGATGTTCACGAAGTGGTCTCCTGTACCAATTTGTTCAAGAGTAGCTTCTACTTTCTCTTCTAAGAGGTTTAGTGTGGCTGGATTTATGTTGAGGTCTCTGATCCATTTGGACTTAAGTTTTGTGCATGGCAATAGAGATGGATCTATCTGCAATCTTCTACATGCCAGCATCCAGTTATGCCAGCACCATTTGTTGAAGATGTTTCCTTTTTTCCATTCAATATTTTTAGCTTCTTATTTTAAAAACAGGTTCATAGGTGTGTGGGCCCATATCAGGGTTTTTGATTTGCTTCCATTGGTCTACCTGTCTATTTCTATGCCAATGCCAAGCTGTTTTCAGGACTATAGCTCTGTAATAGAGCTTGAGTCAGGGATGGTGATGCCTCTAGATGTTCCTTTATTGTACCCGGTTGTTTTGGCTAACCTGGGTCATTTGTTTTTCCATATAAAGTTGAGAATTGTTCTTTCAAGGTCTGTGAAGAATTGTGTTGGGATTTTGATGGGGATTGCATTGAATCTGTAGATTGTTTTTGGCAAGATAGCCATTTTTACTATGTCAATCCTGCCTATCCAGGAGTGCAGGAGATCTTTCCATTTTCTGGTATCTTCTTTAATTTCTTTCTTCAAGACTCAAAGTTCTTGTTATACAGGTCTTTCACTTGTTTGGTTAGTGTTACCCCAAGGATTTATGGGTTTTGGGCAATTATAAAGGGTGATATTTCTCTGATTTCTTTCTCAGCCCATTTATCTTCTGTATATAGGAGGGCTACTGACTTTTTTGAGTTAATCTTGTATCCTGCCACTTTACTGAAATTGTTTACCAGCTGTAGGAGTTTCCTGGTAGAGTTTTTCAGGTCACTTATGTAAACTATCATTTTATCGGCAAATAGTGAAAATTTGACTCCTTTCTTTCCAATTTGTATTCACTTGATCTTTTGTTGTCTTATTGCTCTATTTAGAACTTCAAAGACAATACTGAACAGGTACGGAGAGAGTGGACAACCATGTCTTGTTCCTGATTTTAGAGGAATTGCATTGAGTTTCTCTCCATTTAGTATGATGTTGGAAGTTGACTTACTGTATGTTGCTTTTATTATGTTTAGGTATGTTCCTGTTATCCCTGATCTCTCTAAGACCTTTATCATGAAGGGGTATTGAATTTTGTCAAAAGCTTTTGCAGCATCTAATGAAATGATGATGTGATTTTTCTTTCTCAGTGTGTTTATATGGTGAATTATATTGATGGATTTTCAAATATTGAACCATTCCTGCATCCCTGGGATGAAGCCTACTTGATCATGGTGGATGATTTTTCTGATTTTTCTTGAATTCTATTTGCCAGTATTGTGTTGCAGATTTTTGCATCAATGTTCATGAGTTCATGAGTCTGTAGTTCTCTTTCTTAGTGGTGTCTTTGTGTGGCTTGGGTACCAAGATTTTTGAAGCCTCAAAAAAAGAGTCTGGCAATGACGCTTCTGCTTCAATTGTGTGAAATACTTTGAGGGGAATTGGTATTAGCTGTTCCTTTGAATTTCTGGTAGAAATCTGCACTGAAGCCATCTGTCCCTAGTCTTTTTTTTGGTTGGGAGACTTTTGATGACTGCTTCTATTTCATTAGGGGTTATAGGTTTGTTTAAATTGCTTATCTGTTTTTTATTTAATTTTGGTAAGTGATATCTATCCAGAAAATTGTCCATTTCCTTTAGATATTTGAATTTTGAGGAGTACAGGTTTTCAAAGTATGACCCGATGATTCTCTGGATTTCCTCAGTGTCCGTTGTTATGTCCCCCTTTACATTTCTGATTTTATTAATTTGCATATTCACTCTCTGCTGTTTAGTACGTTTGGATAAAGGCTTGTTGTCTATCTTCTTGATTTTATTGAAGAACCAACTATTTGTTACATTAATTCTTTGTATTGTATTCCTAGTTTCTACTTTATTGATTTTAGCCCACAATTTGATTATTTCCTGGCATCTGCTCCTCCGGGGTGAGTTTGCTTCTTTTTGTTTTAGAGATTTCAGTTGTGCTGTTAATTCTCTAGTGTGACTATTCTCCAGTTTTTTCATGAGGGCACTTAGTGCTATGAACTTTCCTCGTAGCAATGCTTTCAAAGTGTCCCATAAGTTTGGGTATGTTGTTTCTTTATTCTCATTGAATTCTAGGAAGTCTTTAATTTCTTTTTTTATTTCTTCCTTTACGCAGGAATGGTGCAATTGCACATTGTTCAATTTCCATGAGTTTGTAGGTTTTCTGCAGTTCATGTTGTTGTTGAATTCTAACTTTAAAGCATGGTGCTCTGATAACATACAGGGAGTTGTAACAATGAGACTTTCTGACAATCTGCCTGAGCCCTGCTGCCATGTGGGCACTTTCTGCCAGGTTGCCCAAGTTCTGCCCTCCGCCACATTAAGGTCCCAAATAACACAGAGAGACTTATATCAGGTACAAATGCTACTTGGCCAAAGACTAGGATTTCTCATCTGCTAGCTCAGTCTTGGCTTGGCTGTGGATCTCTGTATCTGCTTCCATCAAGTACTGGATGAAGGTTCTGTGATGGCTATTAGGGTAGTCACCAATCTGATTACAGGTGAAGTCCAGTTCAGGCCCCCTCTACACTACTGCTAGAACTCTTAGCAGGGGTCATCCTTGTGGATTCCTGGGAGTTTCCCTGGCACCAGGATTCTCCCTAACCCCATACAGGTCCCTTCTATCAAGATGTCTCTTTCATTACTCTCCCCCTCTTTCCTGCCCCCAACTCAACCATCCTGATGCCTCATGTTCCCATCCCCCTTTTTCACTCCCTCTACTCCCATCCCTGCCACAGTTTACCCAGGATAACTCATCTATTTTCTCTTGCCAGGGAAATCTATGTTTCCCTCTTAGGGTTATCATTGTTACCTAGTTTGTCTGGGGCTGAGGATTGTAGTCTGGATATCCCTTGATTTACATCTACTATCCTCTTATGAGTGAGTACATACTATATATGTCTTTCTGGGTCTGGGTTACCTCACTCAGGATGATTTTTTTCTAGTTCCATCCATTTGTGTACAAGTTTTATGATGTCATTGTTTTTTATCATTCAGTAATACTCCATTGTGGAGATTTTTCACATTTTCTTTATCCATTCTTTGATTAAGGGGCATCTAGGTTGTTTCCAGTTTCTGGCTATTATGAATAATGATGCTATGAACATAGTTGGGCAAGTGTCCTTGTGGTATGGTTGAGCATCCTTTGGATATATGCCCAAGAGTGGTATCTCTGGGTCTTAAGGTAGATAGGTTCCCAATTTTCTGAGAAAGCACCATATTGATTTCCAAAGTGGCTGTACAAGTTTGACCTCCCACCAGCAGTGGAGGGGTATTCCCCTTACTCCACATCCTCTCAAACATAGGCTGTCATTAGCGTTTTTATTCTTAGCCATTCTGACAGGTATAAGATAGCATATCTCAGGGTACTTTTGGTTTGCATTTCCTTGATAGCTAAGGATGTTGAACACTTCTTTAAGTGTATCTTGGCCATACGGGATTCTTCTGCTGAGCATTCTCTGTTTAAGTCTGTGCTCCATTATTTAATGGCATTATTTGGTATTTTGATGTCTAGTTTCTTGGATTCTTTATACATTTTGAATAACAGTTCTCTGTCTGATGTGGGGTTGGTAAAATTGTATTCCCATTCTGTAGGCTGCCATTTGTCTTATTGACAGTGTCCATTGACTTACAGAAGCTTTTCAGTTTCAGGAGGTCCCATTTATCAATTATATATCTCAGTGTCTGTACTACTGGTGTCATATTCAGGAAGAGGTCTACTGTGCCAATGTAGTCAAGGCTACTTCCCACATTCTCTTCTATAGGCTTCAATGTAACTGGATTTATATTGAAGTCTTTGATCACTAAGACCTGAGTTTTGTGTATAGGGATACATATGGATCTATTTGAAATTTTCTACATGTCAACATCCAGTTA